TTCTGGGGGCTGTAAGTGTGATCAGTTTATACTTTTAGACAGCCTTCCCTGACCTGACTCCCTCTGGAGGTCTTTCTTCCAGTTCTATAATTTTCTGCTAGGCTGGCCAATACATCTGGAGGGGATTAGGATAGGTAAAGCTACACTAGTTTACTTTTTATAGCAACATTATGGGAGGAAAGAACTTGCACTGGTATAAGAGGATGTGAGGGAAGCACACTGGGCAAATAACCTTATCTTCTGGCATTCTCCGATCTGTGCCCCTCCGATCTGTGACCCAGCGGACAATGACAGATTCCCTCTCAAACACAAAGTCGAACTGTGCAGTTGTAAATCTCCAGTGGCGCAAACAAAAAGGGGCACAGGAGGAACTTTGAAATATTTAATAGCTACAAAGCATAGTAAAAGGATGCTTTGGCATCATGACCACTACATGTGCTAAGATGAATTGCACTAGTGGTGAAACTGGGTCTGAATTTCAGAGACCCCAATTTCTTGTTGCAGAACCTTAAGAATTCTCCACATCTCAAATCCATTAAATGATTATATGAAATAAACTTCATCCTGCTTTTTAGGAAAACCATGCCCTCAAACAAATGCAGATTATGCCAATGAAGTCTGAAGAGTATTTGCAAAATAGCAGTTGAAGAACTGCTGCTGACACCAGTGAGTCCGAGCAAGTCCAGAGAATTACAGGATTCCAACAAACCTACACTAGGATTTGAAATAACATACTGAAGAAATGTAAGAAAGTACAACATTTAGTCTTCAACATATATAATTTACAGATATTGTTGTAACAACAAAATGAAAGACCAGGAATACAAGGATTAAAGAAAAGTTACAATGAATTATTTGATTCAGTCAGAATCCCCCTTAGGAATTATGGTGGTTCAAAGACTGGAAGATATGACTAAATGCTGCAATACTTTTTTTTTTTAACAGAACAGTTGCAATTTCCATTTCTAAACAGAATATATTTCAATTTTTGAAGCACACATAAAAATAGAATCACTACAGAGCATCCAATCTCTGGTGGCATCCTTGAAAATGTGATATTTACTGTTAGAATTGGGGACCTGAACTTGAATTAAGAATCAGCAAGCACTTAACTTACAATGAACAAGAAGATTTATGCTATCAGAATAAAAAGCTAAATTAGAGTCCTGAAGTGCCATGTTAAAGTAACTTCCTATAGCTTATCAATCATTTCCAAAAACTGCAAATGCACCACTGCAAGCGGAGCACTCCATTTTTTTAAACCTAGCAGTAGGACAAACTGATTTTTCTAGCTAATATATTCAAAGTATATGCCTCAGGATCTTTCAATTTAGCCTGTATATTGTTTTCTCTCTACTCTGTTCATCCTTCTCTGAGGTAACAATTATAATTGTCTCTAGAGAAAAGCACTGTTCTTTATAGTGCTGCCAGCATGGTTCATAACTCTTACAACTGTGCTTTATAGAAAGTATCCTGAGGGACAGTTATCATGGCTAATAGCTATATAAATCAAATTTGAAAACCTGAACAATATAAGCCCAAATACCAACTGATGGATGTAAGTAGTCAGGAGGACCCCTGGCTGACATCCTATTCTCAGCTTCTCAGGTACATGCATTAGACTTAGCTACCAAGTGGCATTTAGCTTCTCAAGCACACAAACTATATGTATACAGAATTAAGCTGGCAAGAGAACCATTAAGTCAACCCAGACCAGGTGACTTCCAAGACCATCAAGAGAATAACCAGGTATCCATTGACTTGGAAAGGTGAGAGAAAAATCTTAAAATTTAGACCTTGATGCAGAACCTATGTAAGGGTTTTGATTTCTGTGTACTGCAGTAGAGAAATCTCTGTTTATGGCTTCATTCATCTCTGCAATAAAGAGACTATTCTTGCCGAGTCATATCCATGAGCCTTTTGCTAAGTAAGTCAATTCCTGAATAAAGGGTTAAGTGTATTTAGTATCTGTGTAAAGCCTGACAATATGGTGTTCATGCCCCCACCTATAATTTTTTACAATCATCACTAAGAAACTGAGTAACATTATGGTTTTCATTATTTCATTTGCATCCTACTTTTCAAGCATGAGTCTATAAACAACAGTTGGTAATGTATGAACTAGAAGCCAGAGAGCTATGTTCCAGTTCCTCTAAAGACAGAAAGCTCATTGGATGAACTTCGGACAATCACTCTTTTAGCCTCAACTATTTCCCCCCTTTTTTCCAGGAAAAGAAGATTTATTACACAGTAATGTGCTTCTTGGAGGAAAGTTGGAGAATTCTTGCATAAAATAAAGCAGTGATATATTTCTAAAATAAATTTACCCCATATATACTGCTCAACATTTACTAAAACTTCCTATGTATGTTGAGTAGATATTACTAATATGAAAATTAATAATACAGAAACATGCACAATTCAATTCACAATTACTTCAGGAAAGTATGGATTTCATTTAGAAATATTTCTATTTAATCTAACATAAAGATGTCTTAAATTTTATTTAGGTCAGTGGTCTGCATGCCACCAGCTTAGCTGTAGCACCATATAAGCAATGACATCAAACAATATATACCTGAGACAATAAGTATCTATTATTCCTAACCGATGAAAAATTATGATTACTGAGCCAGATGGTGATCGCTGGAAGTATATTAACATATAAAGGTACTTTAAACTGGTTCACTTTAGCATTTTTGTCCTGATTCCATTCATATACCTCCAGAATCAAAAAGACACCTTGCACATTGATAGCAGCTGTTCATGATCTCAGGCCAGTTAGCTAAGATCTTCTTTTTAACTAGAAAGATTAGGGACAAGTTGTTCCACAAACTGAGTGCTTTATGATTAAGTGGTTCTTCCCCCCTGCAAAATAATGAACACTAGCGATAAGAAGGAATTCTGGATTTTGAACTTGCTGGAGGAATGGAAAGGTAGAAGAGATATCCTGTAGTAAATGTTTAGACTATTATTACTACCTGAAGTGGTTGTTTCTAAGGAAACGTCATTTAAGACTGAAAGCCTGTCTTTAAAGAAAACTGTCAACCTCTTCATCTCATTCTGCACCCAATAAAACCACAGAAACTGAATGAGTATGAATCAGCAGTATTGTTTTACTTTGTAGCTATGTAAAAAAAATGCTCTCTAATCCTTTTAGAAGTATGAAATGCATAGAAATGTTCATTTTTGAAGAGTGATGGGAATTACATTCAAGCAGACTTTCACAATGCTATATCACAGGGACAATTCCAGTCACAGCTGAGGAAATCTACCTCTTCCTTCCTAATGGACCCGATCACTCTTCCACTAAAGAAATTGGACCAAAACATATAAAACAGACAAACAGTTTTTTAAACTACAGTGCTTACCAAAGTAATATCTTAAAAGGATCAGCCTTTAATAAGTTTAGTGGTCATAATTCTTTCAAAAAGTTATAAAAGCCTTCCTTCCTAGTTTTCAATTCAATGAACGCTGTCAGGCACAGGTACCCCAAAACACCAAGATAATAATCATTATGTGTTAATGATTTCTTCCTCCCCATTCTTTCAAATTGAGGATCTCAACATAGGACTGAATGCAGGTTGATGCATATTTATCCTAAAAGAACACTTTCTTTTTTTTATGGTGGGATCCAAGCTAAATTCTTCTGATGAACATGGAACTACTGAATTATTTCAGACTAAATTCACCAAGAGGTTTCAGAGTTTGTCTGAGTGAGGATTTATCTACTCCCTGCAAAGAAAGAAATGTACAGAAAATATTAAAATGCAGTTACTTAGGAAAACCAATTCTCTATGGAACTTAGTCACCAGATTTTTAAAAAATTCTATTTGAAAAATGTAGTACTTCCCAAACCCAGGAAACAGTAAAATCCCTCCCAATGTCAGAAAGAGTGGTCATCTGCTAGTAGAATTTTTGAAGCTCAGGGTTTTGAGAACAGCAACTGAACTCTGAGAGGGAGAGGCAGTCGAAGAGAATGACAGTGTTTCTTCCCACCTTCTGTGACAGCTTCCCAATTTGTTTCCACCCATGCTACAGAGAAAACCAAACAGGCTCTTTATGCCTGTGTTCACATAACACAATAATCCCATTGCTTCATCATGGTTTATTGAATCAACCTAGCCAGCTAGATTTGAATTAACACGCTGAGTTCACAGAACACACTTTGCCACCAGTCACGATTTTGCTTATCATGTCACCTAAACGCAAGTTAAGCCTCAGAACTGGAAATAAATACATGGATTGTGGGGGGCTTGACACCCCAATCTGGATTAAAATGTCCCCCCCACCAAGAAAAACGGTCCAGCAGCCGGGAAAGCCAGGTTCTTTAGCAGCCACTGTGAGCTTTTGGTAGTTTCTGAGGTACAAAATATAACGAATGAATTCATTAAGTTGTTTTCCAGGTGGCTTCTCCTGGTTTTTAGAGGAAGGTGTAGTCAAGTGAAAGCATACCGAGGGCAGAAGAGGGGCTTCCTTGGGAAGGGAGGATTTTTAGGATGGGGGAAAAGAGGCAGAGAAGATCGTGACCCTTATCGTGCATTCCAAAGGAGGCAATTAACCGTTTCAGAAACGGAGCAATAATAATTAAGGTTCCCTATGGCTCCACCCGGGAGCTGGGTTTCCTCCCCTCGCTCGTCAGATGGAGAAGGAATAAGAGCGCACACGAACAACAACAACAACGAAGAGGAGGAGGAGGAGGAGGAGGAGGAGATGATGATGATGGTGATGATAGGTCGAGGTCTCTGCGGGGGCTGGATGGGAGCAAGACCCCAGCCTGCAAGGAAGGGAAGCCGCGGCGGAGGCGAGGCGGCCCCGGAGCAGCCCCCGAGCGCTCTCCCTTCTCCCCACCCCGCCACCTTCGCCGCGCGGTGGCTCATGGGAGTTGTAGTCGCCGCGCTGAGGCGGTCGGCGTCGCGGTTCCGACGCGTCCGAAGGGCAGGGCAGGGCAGGGCAGGGCAGGGCTAGGCGGTGGGCTCCGCCGCTCGCCCGTCACTCACCGCTTTGCTCGCCGAGGAAGAC